GTAAAAAAACGATGTTGAGACTCTAGAAAGAGTGCAGAGAAGAACAACAAAGAGGATTGGAGGACTGGAGGCTAAAACATACGAAGAACGGTTGCTGGAATTGGGTGTGTCTAGTTTAATGAAGAAAAGGACGAGGGGGGGGGGACATGATAGCAGCCTTCCAGTATCTCAGGGGCTGCCCCAAAGAAGAGGGAGTCAAGCTATTCTCCAAAGTGCCTGAAGGCAGGACAAGAAGCAACGGGTGGAAACTAACCAAGGAGAGAAGCAACCTAGAAAGGAGAAATTTCCTGACAGTCAGAACAATTAACCAGTGGAACTGCTTGCCATCCGCTGGGCAAACAAAACAGTCCCTGCCTTTTGGAGCCATTTGCCGTTAATAAGGGAAGTCACGAGTCCGAGGTTACGAGAAGGTCCCTTCCCAATCTCTTCTTCTGTGAATTCTCCAAAGAAAGGACTTCTGGTTTCATTTCTACAACAGTTGTGCAATTCAGGAGCTTCAGCCAGCTTGGGCCAGCTTGGGCCTTCTCAGAACGAAACGTAAGAGCAGAGATTAATCATCCAGTTTTGGTTACCACGGTGCAAAAAAGATGTGGAGATTCTAGAAAGAGTGCAGAGAAGAGCAACAAAGATGATCAGGGGACTGGAGGCTAAAGCATGTAAGGAACGGTGGCTGGAATTGGGGATGTCTAGTTTAATGAAGAGAAGGATGAAGGGGGACAGGATAGCAGTCTTCCAGTATCTCAGGGACTGCTCCAAAGAAGAGGCAGTCAAGCTATTCTCCAAAGCACCTGAAGGCAGGACAGGAAGCCATGAATAATAAGAATAAAGAATAAAAAGAATAGTTTCCAACGGATGGAAACACATCAAGGAGAGAAGCAACCTGGAACTAAGGAGAAACTTCCTGACAGTTAGAATAATTAACCAGTGGAACTCCTTGCCTCCAGAAGCTGTGAATGCTCCAACACTGGAAGTTTTTAAGAAAAGACTGGACAGCCATTTGTCTGAAATGGTATATGGTTTCCTGCCTGAGCAGGGAGTTGGACTAGATGACCTCCAAGGTCCCTTCCAACTTTATTATTATTATTATTAAAACTTCCAGTGTTGGAGCACCCACAACATCTGAAGGCAAGCCATTCCACTGGTTAATTGCTCTAACTGTCAGGAAGTTTCTCCTTAGTTCCAGGTTGTTTCTCCCCTTGATGAGTTTCCATCTGTTGCTTCTTGTCCTGCCTTCAGGTGCTTTGGGGGATAGCTTGACTCCTTCATCTTTGGGGCAGCCCCTGAGATACTGGAAAACTGCTATCCTGTCCCCCCTCGTCCTTCTCTTCATTAAACTAGACATGCCCAATTCCAGCAGCCGTTCCTTATATGTTTCAGCCTCCAGTCCCCTGATCATCTTTGTTGCTCTTCTCTGCACTCTTTCTAGAGTCTCAGCATCTTTTTTACATCGTGGTGACCAAACCTGGATGCAGGATTCCAAGTGTGGCCTTACCAAGGCCTTGTAAAGTGGTATTAACGCTTCACATGATCTTGATTCTTTCCCTCTGTTAATGCAGCCTAGCACTGTGTGGGCTTTTTTGGCAGCTGCACATATAAAAATTAATCACTGTCCATCATGAATACATAACAGAAGGAGGAAACTTGAGAGTTTGCAAGGTTAATGCTGTATGCAACAAAGCTGGGACTGGATGGGGATGTTCTGCTTCGGGTACCACGAAGTTCCCTCCTTCCAGAAAGTAACAAGGAGAATAGGTTGTGGGGAGGATGTGTCGTGTCCCAGATAGTCCTGAGGACCCTGTTAAAGTGTCACTTATACTCCCGATCCTGGATAGAAGGGCCAATAATCTTTTCTGCTGTCCTCACCACTCTCTGCACTGCCTTCCTAGCCAAAGCAGCGATGCTTCCAAACCAGATAATACATAACACATAACACAACACAATACAATACAACACAACACAACAAATAGAAATACTTTTCACACTACCAGCAGAAACCAAGGCCATAGTGCTCACAACCCTGAATTGCCACCTATCCAGCAGGCACAAGGCCACATTATTTGATGGATTATCTGCAGGGCGATCTGCTGGATGACCTCTGATTGTCTTTGTTAGACACCTGTGTTTCTCAACTTTGACAATGCTGGGAATTGAAGTCCACGCCTCGTAAAGCTGTCACAGTTGAGAAACAGTGCATTCGCTGGCTCAAATTTCACGTCGGCACCTATTTTGCTAATAAATCATTGGGGGGGGGGAAATGTTCTTAATCTTAGACTGTTTTCTCCTCAGATGCAAAAAGCTAATTTTTGCAAAAGGCCCCAGCTGCCGCAGTGGTCACTTCCGTGTCTCCGGTTGGCAACTCTTGTACTGACCCCTCCCCCCTCTTGGTGGCCTTTGCTGCCAGGTGCCAAATGGACCCCCACCCCACCTCCATCCTTCCATCTCATTTGGCAGACAGCCCCGCCTCTTCCCCGAATTGCAGAGAATTTACTTCCTTCTCCTGATGCAAATTGCTTGGGGTCAGTGGCTTCGATGCAAAACCAAGGATGCTGATTGTGACCTCAGAATTTGGGGAGGGAGGGGGGGCTACAGGGACCGCATCTGTCCTCCTCACCTATGGGCAGGCGGCTTTGGGGCACCAGCGCAAAGTTGGCCATTAGGACTGTATCTCTATGCGTCCAGACAGAAGAATCATAGGGGGGGGGGAATCAGAATAGCAGAGTTGGAAGGGACCTTGGAGGTCATCTAGTCCAACCCCCTGCTTAGGCAGGTAACCCTATACGCTTTCGGACAAATGGCTGTCCAGTCTCTTCTTAAAAACTTCCAGTGTTGGAGCATTCAGAGCTTCTGGAGGCAGGTAGTTCCACTGATTAATTGTTCTCACTGTCAGGAAGTTTCTCCTAAGTTCTAGGTTGCTTCTCTCCTTGATTAGTTTCCATCCGTTGCTTCTTGTCCTGCCTTCAGACGCTTTGGAGAACAGCTTGACTCCCTCTTCTTTATGGCAGCCCCTGAGACATTGGAAGATGCTATCCTGTCCCCCCAATCCTTCTTTTCATTAAACTAGACATACCCAATTCCTCCCAATGACCCTGGCACACTGCAACCGTCATAAATAGGAGTCAGTTGCCAAATGGCTGAATTCTGATCAGGTGATCCCACGGTCGTAAGTGTGAAAAATGGTCCTAAGTCTCTTTTTTGGTGCCGTTGTAATTTTGAACGGTCACTAAATGGACTGTCGTGAATTGGGGACGACCTGTACAATTCCAGACCCAACGGCTGTCAAAGGGTCTTCAAAAGGTGCTGATCTCAAGGACCAGGCAGCTTTTGCAACAGGAGGGACGGGGGTGTCTCACACAAACGTCCACGGACCTTAGCCCATTTCACAGGTGTGCCAATTGCTTGTTGTAAGCTGCTTTAAGACTGGTGGACTTCAACTCCCAGAATTCAAAATTCAGGCATTTGGGCAGGGGTAGGCAACCTTGGCTCTTTTATGACTCGTGGACTTCAACTCCCAGAATTCCTGAGCCAGCCATGCTGAGGGGAAAGGGAGAGATTTCCAAGCTGAGCCATGCTGACTCTGGAATTCTGGGAGTTGAAGTCCACGAATCATGAGGGGGCTATAGTTTCCCCATGCTGGCTGAGGAATTCTGGGAGTTGAAGTCCACAAGTCATGAGGGGGCCATAGTTCCCCCATGCTGGCTCAGGAATTCTGGGAGTTGAAGTCCACGAGTCATAAAAGGGCCCAGTTTGAAGACCCTTGGTTTAAATATTTAAATATTTTTTCCTCACGTTCACGTGATCAAAATTCAGGCATTTGGGCAGGGGTAGGCAACCTTGGCTCTTTTATGACTCGTGGACTTCAATTCCCAGAATTCCTGAGTCAGCCATGCTGAGGGGAAAGGGAGAGGTTTCCAAGCTGAGCCATGCTGGCTCAGGAATTCTGGGAGTTGAAGTCCACGAGTCATGAGGGGGCCATAGTTCCCCATGCTGGCTGAGGAATTCTGGGAGTTGAAGTCCACGAGTCATGAGGGGGCCATAGTTTTAAAGCGGCCAAGTTTGAAGACCCCTGTTGTAGACAGACTCCATCTCTTTGTCTAGACTTGTCTGCAAAGGCTTTGCAGGATTTATTCTTTCGAAATATTTCCAAGCTTTTGGGCAACGCCTTCCTGGTGCAATTAACCCGCCCACAGAAGAGAATCCCACACAACTGCAAGGGCTCAAAGACACACAAAGACACACAAAAGAGGCCCTAACAAAGCAGCCAAACTGAAAGCAATCAAAACTATTTGCCATTAACAAAGAGAAAACAATCCCTACAGGAACCTCTTCAAGCAAAGAGCGTAGAGCAGTTTTGTTTTTTTCAACCTTGGCTGCTTTAAGAGGGGTGGACTTCAACTCCCAGAATTCCCTACCCAGCAGTTCTTTAATTCTGGGAGTTGGAGTCCACCCATCTTAAAGTGTCCAAGGTTGAGAAACACTGGTCTAAGTAGGCTTCCATCAAGGAGGTTTTTCTTAAGAATTCTGGGAGTAGAAGCTCACCCATCTTAGAGATGCTGGCTGGGGGATTCTGGGAGTTGAAGTCCTCCCATCTTAAAGCCTGCTGACTGGGGAATTCTGGGAAATGTCCACCCATCTTAAAGATGCTGGCTGGGGGATTCTGGGAATTCAGCTCCTCCCATCTTAAAGCCTGCTGGCTGGGGGATTCTGGGAGTTGAAATCCTCCCATCTTAAAGCTGCTGACTGGAGAATTCTGGGAAATGAAGTCTACCCATCTTAAAGATGCTGGCTGGGAGATTCTGGGAGTTGAAGTCCACCCATCTTAAAGCATGCTGGCTGGGGGATTCTGGGAATTCAGCTCCTCTCATCTTAAAGCCTGCTGGCTGGGGAGTTCTGGGAGTTGAAATCCTCCCATCTTAAAGCCTGCTGGCTGGGAATTGTGGGAAGTGAACTCCACCCATCTTAAAGCATGCTGGCTGGGGAATTCAAATCCTCCCATCTTAAAGCATGCTGGCTGGGGAATTCTGGGAGTTGAAATCCTTCCATCTTAAAGCCTGCTGGCTGGGGAATTCTGGGAGTTGAAATCCTCCCATCTTAAAGCCTGCTGGCTGGGGAATTCTGGGAAGTGAACTCCACCCGTCTTAAGGCCTGGATGGCAGATGGGATACTAGCCATGAAAAGGGTTGGGGGCTTCCTGGCCTTAGAGATAATTGTCTTCATCGCTCCCGGGCCCAGCGCCCGCTTCCTCCTCGTCCCCCGCCAGGGCTTCGATGTCGTGGGTGATGTTGGCGATCCGGCGATTGAAGGACTCCGCGTCGGAGTGCAAGGACCAGCTGTCGTAGCTCCTCACAGCTGAGGCCGAGGTGCTGCTCATGCTCCTCTTGATGCGGCCGAAGCTGTCAGTCAGAATGCCCCCTTCCCGGATGCCGATGCTCTCCAGGAATGACTCAAAGTAGCCGATGTCCTGGTCAGGGATAAACGGCCGCATGCCTGTGGAAAGGGGGCAAAGAGGGGATCCTGGGTGGTTCTCTTGCGGACCTTTCATGACCCATCTAGGTCATGTTATCAGTGCCAGAAGGGAGTGGGTATGCGGACAGGAGGAGGAGGAGGAGGAGGAGGAGGAGGAAGAGAACTGTGGAGGAGGACTTGATGCTCCCTGAACTTGGATCTTTTCTTGCAGAGAAGGGGGAGGAATGTGGGATCCATGGTGTTTTCTGAGCTTGGTTGTTTGCTTGCATATGTTTCATGACCCATCTAATTCTCAACCTTTTTACTGCCGCGACCCCCAACCGGTCGTAAGTCGAGGACTACTCAACCGGTCGTAAGTCGAGGACTACTCAACTGGTGCAGCACCGTTTGCAGAATGGGACTTTTGGCGGGCTCAGCAGGGCAGAGACAGCCTGGACAATTCCTATTGGCTTTGGAAAGCCAATAGAATTAGACTCTATTCAAGAGAGTCTATTCTATTGGCTTTCAAAAGCCAATAGAATAAAAGGGAGTAGCACAGCTAAGGAAAAGGGGGGGAAAATGGCGGACTGCGTTGTTTGGCGACCCCCGTGACATGGTCGTTCGACCCCAAATGGGGTGCCGACCCACAGGTGGAGAACCACTGATCTAGGTAATGTTATCAGTGCTAGAAGGAAGGGGGGTATGTGGAGAGAAGGAGGAGGAGGAGGAGGAGGGAGGGACGGAGGGAGGAAGGAGGAGGAGGGCTGTGGGGTCCTTGGGGCTCTCTGAGCTTGGTTGTTTTCTTGCAGACATTTCATGACCCAACTAGGGCACAGCATCAGTTCTAGAAAGGAGATGGAGGAGGAGGAGGAGGAAGAGGAGGACGACAACTGTGGGGTCCTTGGTGTTTTCTGAGCTTGGTGGTTTTCTTGCAGACGTTTCATGACCCAACTAAGTAACTTCATCAGTGCCAGAAGGGAGGGGGCTTGCGGAGAGGAGGAGGAGGAGGAGGAGAAGAGAAAGAAAGAGAAAAAAGGGAAGGAAGGAAGGAAGGGAGAGAAAGAAAGAAAGAAAGAGAAAGAAAGAAAGAAAGAAAGAAAGAAAGAAAGAAAGAAAGAAAGAAAGAAAGAAAGAAAGAAAGAAGGGCTGTGGGGTCCTTGGTGCTCTCTGAGCTTGGTGGTTCTCTTGCAGACATTTCATGACCCAACTAGGTAACTTCATCAGTGCCAGAAGGGAGGGGGCTTGCGGAGAAGAGGAGGAGGAGGAGAAGAGAAAGAAAGAGAAAAAAAGGGAGGGAAGGAAGGAAGGAAGGAAGAAAGAAAGAAAGAAAGAAAGAAAGAAAGAAAGAAAGAAAGAAAGAAAGAAAGAAAGAAGGAAAGAAAGAAAGAAAGAAAGAAGGGCTGTGGGGTCCTTGGTGCTCTCTGAGCTTGGTGGTTCTTTTGCAGACGTTTCATGACCCAACTAGGTAAAATCATCAGTTCTAGAAGGGAGGGGATTTGGAGAGGGGGGGAGGAGGAGGAGGAGGAGGAGAGGGATATGACCCGATTTTACAGCTGTCGGTGAGTGAGACAGGACGGAACTCGAGTCCTGAGGCGAAAGGGGTAAAAATAAAGTCACGATGGTAGCCGTCACGTGACCAGACGTGACTCCAATTGCACACGGTCGCCATCTTGAACCCTCTGCAAATCAAAATATTTCCCACTTCCAGAGAGAGAGAGAGAGAGAGGCATTTACCCAAAAGAAGGAATTTCCGCTTCTCCCCGTAGAGATTGAGCAGCCCAGCGCAGTAGCTCTCCACCGTCAAACCCGTCCGGTATTCACGGAGCAGGAGGGCAAATCCTTGAATCTCCTGAGGGCTCAACTTGCTTCGCAACTGTGGGGTAAAACGAGAGGATTGTTCTAGGGAGGGAAAGCCCGACCAGACCCCCTCGGCCTTCTCCCACCTCAGCCTTGTATCTTTGGTTGCTTTACAGCAGGGCTCTCCAAACGTGGCCATTTTAAGACTGGTGGACTTCAACTCCCAGAATTCCCCAGCCAGCAGCTCTCCAAACTTGGCTCCTTTAAGACTTGTGGACTTCAACTCCCAGAATTCCCCAGTCAGAAAGTCCCCAGAGTTGACAACTTTAAGACTTGTGGACTTCAACTCCCAGAATTCCCTAGTCAGCAGGTCCCCAGAGTTGACAACTTTAAGACTGTGGACTTCAACTCCCACAATTCCCCAGCCAGCAGGTCCCCAAAGTTGATCACTTTAAGACTTGTGGACTTCAATTCCCAGAATTCCCCAGCCAGCAGGTCCCCAAAGTTGATTACTTTAAGACTTGTGGACTTCAACTCCCAGAATTCCCCAGCCAGCAGGTTCCCAAACTTGGCTCCTTTAAGACTTGTGGACTTCAACTCCCAGAATTCCTCAGCCGGCAGATCCCCAAAGTTGATCACTTTAAGACTTGTGGACTTCAACTCCCAGAATTCCTCAGCCAGCAGTTCTCCAAACTTGGCCACTTTAAGACTTGTGGACTTCAACTCCCAGAATTCCCCAGTCAGCAGGTCCCCAAACTTGGCTCCTTTAAGACTTGTGGACTTCAACTCCCAGAATTCCTCAGCTGGCAGATCCCCAAAGTTGACCACTTTAAGACTTGTGGACTTCAACTCCCAGAATTCCCCAGCCAGCAGGGTGGCTAGGCAATTCTGGGAGTTGAAGTCCACAAATCTTAAAGATGCCAAATTTGGAGACCCCTGCTTTATAGAAAAACCAGTCAATAAATTTAGTATTTCAATCCTTATCATTTATATTTATATTTAACTTTATATTTAACTTTAACTTTGTATTTTATATTTATATTATCTATATTTATATTTATATTGCCATGTATATTTATCACTGTTTTTCTATTTCTCCTATTTTTAGTCCTTGACTTACAACTGTTGGTTTAGCAACGGTTAGACGTTTACAACGGCACTGGGAAAAAGTGACTTAGGACCGTTTTTCACACTTACGACCGTTGCAGCATCTCTGTGGTCACGTGACCAAAATTGGGAGGCTTGGCAACTGGCATGAACGCGTGACGGTTTGCAGAGTCCAGGAGTCACGTGATTCCCCCCCCCTTTTTTGATCTTCTGACCGGTCAAGTCAATGGGGAAGGCAGGTTCATTTAACGACCCTGTTACCAATTTAACTGCGGCGACCTCCTTAACGACTGCAGCCAGAAAGGTCGTAAAAGGGGACAAAAACCCATTTAGCAAATGTTTCGCTGAGCCCCAGAAATTTGGGGCTCCATTTTTGGTAGGAAGTCAAGTTCCCTTAGCTTCGTCCACTTCAGTGGGCAATTTTTTTGGGGAGGGGGGAATTCTGCGGATTTTTATCCCGGGGTCACCACTGCCAGCCCGAGTCCTGCCCTTTGGTTTGAACGCAGAGTCCAGGACACGTCGCCCCCCCCTTGTGCAACGAATGCGAATCCTACAACGGGCTTCATCCTGGACCCGAGTTCACCAGCCTCCCCACAGCCCCCATCCCAGGCTGAACCCCGACTTTCCGTCATCATGTAGTCCTGCAGTTGTTCCAAGCTGGTGTTGCTGTGGTCGCTCCCGCTGCAGGCGGTGGCCAGGCTGTGATGCGACCGGTGTAGCAGAGGGGAGGAGGAACTACTGCAGTAGGCCTCAAAAGTCTCGTGGGAGCCGTCACTGCGAGAAGGAAGAGAGAAGGGAAGTTGCCTTAATAATAATAATAGTAATAATAGTAATAGTAGTAGTAGTAGTAGTAATAGTAGTAGTAGTAGTAGTAATAATAATAATAATAATAATAATAATAATAGTTGGAAGGGACCTTAGAGATCATCTAGTCCAACCCCCTGCTCGGGCAGGAAACCCTACACCATTTCAGACAAATGGCGGTCCAGTCTCTTATAATGAAATAATAAAGAGGGCAATCATAAAATAAATTCATAAAATGGTCAATAAATTAATAAAATGAAATGATACAATGAAATAATGAAGTGCAAGATAAAATCATAAAATAAATCTATAAAATGGTCAGTAAATTCATAAAATGAAATGACGCACTGAAATAATAAAGACAGCAAGATAAAATTGTAAAATAAATTAATAAAATGGTCAATCAATTCATAAAAGGATACAATAATAAAGAGGGCAAGATAAAATCATAAAATAAATTCATAAAATGGTCAATCAGTTAATAAAATGAAATGATACAATGAAATAATGAAGAGCGCAAGATAAAATCATAAAATAAATTTATAAAATGGTCAATAAATTAATAAAATGAAATGACACACTGAAATAATAAAGAGGGCGAGATAAAATCACAAAATAAATTCATAAAATGGTCAATAAATTAATAAAATGAAATGACACAATGAAATAATAAAGAGGGCGAGATAAAATCATAAAATAAATTCATAAAATGGTCAATAAATTAATAAAGGAAGATACGGTAGTCCTCAACTTATAACAGTTCATTAGCTGAGCATTGGAAGTTACAGCGACACTAAAAAGCTCACTTATGACCATTTTCTACAGTTACGACCGTTGTCGTATCCCTGTGATCCCGTGGTCAAAATTCATACACTTGGCAACTGCTTCACATTTATGACGGTTGCAGTGTCCCCGGGGGGGTCGTGTGATCCCCTTTTGCGACCTTAAGCCAAGTCAACGGGGAAGCCAAATTCACTTAACAACCGTGTGACTAATTTAACAAGTGCGGCGATTCATTTAATGACGGCAGCCCTAAAAGGTCGCCTAAGGGGCTAAAACTCACTATTTTGCTTAGCAACAGAAATGTTGGGTTTGCTTGTGGTCGTAAGCCCAGGACGACCTCTAATACAAAAAAATTAATAAAATAAAATAATACGATAAAATGTGAAATAAAATCAAAGGGGTTCAGAATTGGCTAGGAAAGGAATAAATTCTTTCTCGCGCACAGGAGGAGGAGGAGCTAAACCAGTTTCCCAGAGTCTGGCGCCCTCTAGTGGCATTGGATTAACTGTTCCCATCGTTCCGAGATACCAGCTGGAGGCAGGATGGATGGAAGGACAGGTCACAATTGGGCACCGCAGCCAAATTGCCGTGGCCAACTCAACACGGTCAACTGGAGGTTTCTAAGAAGAGACTGGACAGTCACTTGTCTGAAATGGTTCGGGGTCTCCTGCTTGAGCAGGGGGCTGGACTAGAAGACCTCCGAGGTCCCTTCCAGCTTCTATTCTATTCTAAATTCTAAACTTGCCGCGGGGCAAATTGCCGGAGGACAAGCGCGAACACCCATATCGAAGAAATAGCGGAATACAATCGTTAAAGAAAGGGTACAAGTTGCAATTATCCCTCATGGGAAGAATTGCAGTGATAAAAATGAATATTCTACCCAAGTTTCTCTTTTTGTTCCAAATGATACCGATTTTGAAGAATGAGATCAATTTAACTGAGTGGCAGAAAGGCCTTAATAAATTTATTTGGGCAGGGAAAAAGCCAAGGGTTAAGTTTAAAATTATGCAAGATTTCCGTGAGAGGGGAGGACTCAAGGTGCCGAATTTGAAATTATATTATGATGCGGTGGTTTTAACATTAGTTAGTGACTGGGTAAATTTGACAAATTCTGATATACTTCACTTAGAGGGATGGAATCTACTTTTTGGGTGGCATGCCTATTTAATATTTAATAAAAAAATGGATTGGGCTTTTAAATCTCATATCTTAAGAACTTCTTTACTTAGGGTTTGGAGAAAATATTATAAAAGTGATTTCAAAGTACCATTATGGGCTATACCTTGGCATGCAATAGAAGGAATAAAAAGAGGGGTTAAAATGGATATGGTGTCTTATAGACAGTTACTTAAATGGGATGGACAAAACTGGCAGTTAAAATCACGGGAAGAGTTAGCACAAGAAAATATTATTTATTCTTGGTTCCAATATAGGCAATTATCAGATGGATGGAAGATGGACTGTAAGGTGGGTTTTCTCAGAGAAGATGAAAATCTTATTAAGCAAGTGAAGGATCAAAGACAAACCCACATTAAGAGGATTTATGGGGTTTTAGTTGAATTGGATTCAGAAACGGAACTCATTAAAGATTGTATGATTAGATGGGCGCAGAATTTTGGTGAGCCAGTTCCATTGGACACCTGGGAAATTATTTGGGTGAGAAATGTCAAATTTACACAAGCACAGAAATTAAGGGAGAATTTTTATAAAATGTTTTATAGATGGCACCTTGATCCACAAAAAATGTCTTTTATGTACCCTGACTTACAACCTAAATGTTGGAGATGTGGTTGTATGGACGCTACTTATTATCATATTTGGTGGTCGTGCAGAGAGATAAAAGCATTTTGGATTAAGATCTGGTGGAATATCCAGAGAATTTTTAGAAGGAGGGTAAAATTTACTCCGCAATTATTTTTGTTGGGTATAGTTACTGATTGTGATACAAAGGAGGTTATATTGATGTTAAATTTGATTACAGCTGCGAGGCTGTTAGTAGGACAATATTGGAAGAAGGAATCTTTGCCTACATTGCAGGAATGGGTTCTTAAAGTGTCTCATTTGGCGGAAATGGCAAAGATTTCGGCTTTCTTAAAGGGACAAACGCAAGAGAAATTTCTTGCTGTTTGGGATAAATGGATAAAATTCATACAATTTAAATTTGATATAAAAAATACTATATAGTTTTTTCATAATTTTTAACTCTCTCTCTATATATATTTTCTATTTTATATTCTTTTTTTTATAAATATAAATTTTTTTAACTTTTTTTTAATTAAGCCTATATTCTGCTCTGGGAGGCCCTGGGGGGGGGAAGGGGGGGTTTGGGTAGGGGTGGGGGAAGGGGGGTTTTGTTGGGTAATGTTTGTTTTTTATTTGTATATGTTGTTTTTTGTTTTTGTATTGTCTTTTATTTTCTGTAAAATTTATAAAACTCTTTAATAAAAAAAAAAAAAAGAAAGGGTACCAAAAGGAAGAGCAAAATAACGCACGAAGGAAAAAAATTGGAATAGTTTAAACATTCTTTTAAATAGATGAATCGTTGAATGGTCGCACAATGACTTCTCCCACCGTGATTTGGGCAGGCTGAGTCGGGGGCATCAAGTGGGGCACGCCAAGTTGTCCCGTTCTGTTCTGGGTCATGGTGGGGCTGGGAAGGGAGTTTTGGGGCCCGGCTGGGAATTCCCTGCTCACTTTAACAGAATCCCCACCAGCAGATTTAGTTTTGGAGGAGAGGAAAAACAAAAAGAGAAAAAAGGAGGAGGAGGAGGAGAAGGAGGAGGAGGAGAAGGAGAAGAAGGAGGAAGAAGAGGAAGAGGAGAAGGAGGAGGAGAAGGAGGAAGAGGAGAAAGAAGGAGAAGGAGAGGAGGAGGAGAAGGAGGAGGAGGAGGAGGAGCAGGAGCAGGAGAAGAAGGAGAAGGAAAAGTAGAAGAAGAAGGAGGAGGAGAAGGAGGAGGAGAAGAAGGAGGAGGAGGAAATGGAGGAGGAGGAGAAAGAGAAGGGGAAAGAGGGGAGGAATAGGAAGTGGAGAAGGAGAAGGAGGAGGAGGAAGAGGAAAAAAAGATGATGAAGAGAAAGAAAGAAAGAAAGAAAGAAAGAAAGAAAGAAAGGGAGGAAGGAAGGAAGGGTGGGAGGAAGGAAGGGAGAGAAAGAAAGAAAAAGAAAGAAAGAAAGAAAGAAAGGGAGGGAGGGAGGGAGGAAGGAAGGGTGGGAGGAAGGAAGAAAGGGAGAGGAAGAAAGAAAGAAAAAGAGAAAGAAAGAAAGAAAGGAAGGAAGGGAGGGAGGGATGAAGGAAGGGAGAGGAAGAAAGAAAGATAGAAAGGGAGGAAGGAAGGGGTGGGAGGAAGGAAGGAAGGAAGGGAGAGAAAGAAAGAAAAAGAGAAAGAAAGAAAGAAAGAAAGAAAGAAAGGGAGGGAGGAAGGAAGGAAGGAAGGGAGAGGAAGAAAAAAAGAAGGAAAGAAAGAAAGAAAGAAAGAAAGAAAGGGAGGGAGGGAGAAAGGAAGGAAGGGTGGAGGGAGGGAGGAAGGGTGGGAGGAAGGAAGGAAGGGAAAGGAAGAAAGAAAGAAAGAAAGAAAAGCAACGGTCCAGTTGGACTTCCGGTTCGCCAGCCGTCGCGCAAGCGGCGCTTACAAGGAGCTGCAGCAACTGAAGTCGGCGTCGTAAGCGTACGTGCCCTCGGTCCGACAGCTCTCACCTGGGAAGGCAGACCACAAGGCAAAGAAGAAGCTGGTCAGGAACCACGTTTTCCATCTTCCAACTTCAGTCAATGTCCGTCTCTCTGTACACATAATCCTCGCTTAGCAACCGGTTGCTAAGCCACCATTCGAAGTTATGACAGACCACCCCAAAAGGCACTTACGACCCAATTTCCAAGTTCTGACAGCCACTTGTGCGATTGCATTTCGGCCCTCGACAACCCAGCTTGCATTTACGGCCCTTTCCGGTGTCCCACGGTCACGCGACTGCAATTTCTGACTTTTTTTTTTTTTTGCTCTGTGGTCCTCGAGTTACAAGAGTCCATTTAGCGACCGTTCGGAGTTATAACGGCAACTGAAAAAAAGCGACTTAACGGCCATTTTTCACACTCATGACCCTTGCAGCCTCCCCAGGGTCACGTGATCAAAATGCCGGTGCTTGCCCACTGGTTCACACATATGACGGTTGCCGTGTCCCGCGGGAGGGGGTGTCACATGATCCCGTTTTGCGCCCTTCCGACAAGCAAAGCAAACAGGGAAGTCAGGTTCACTTAATGACCGTCTTACTGACTTAACGACTGCAGCAAGAAAGGTGGTCAAATAGAGAGAAACTCACAACAATCGTCTCGTTTTGCAACACCAATTTTGGTCCTACGTCAAGGACTATATTCTGATTTCCAGCAAGGAATGCTTGTTCGATAAAAGGGATAGGCTTATGGACCGTGGGGACTTTTACTTTCATTTAATCACCGCTTCAAAAACGGATGTAAAATTGTGGGGGCGGGTGTGCAGTCCCGTGGTAATCCACTGAACAACGTCCAGGACGTACGACCGTAATTCCAGGCTCCCTTACGGTCATAAGGCGAGGACCAACCTGAAAATGATTTCTTTCCCGCTCTCCCACAGTGTTTTTCAACTTTGGCAACTTTGACCCCGGGGCTTCCACTCCCAGAATTCCCCAGCCCAGTCCTCGATTTACGACCACAATGGAACCCGTTTCTGTCACAAAGGAGACCGTTGTTAAGTGAGCTTTGCTCTATTTTATGACCTTTCTTGCCACCGTGGTTAAGCGAAACGTACAACTGCAGTTGAGCCCAACATTTGTGTTAAGTCAGTTTCGCTCCGTTTTACGACTTTTCTTGCCGTAGGTGTTAAATGAATCCTCGCAGTTTTTCACATAGTAAAACGGTCGTTAAGTGAATCCGGCTTTCCCATTGACGTTGCTCGTCGGAAGGTCGCAAAAGGGGATCCACGTGACCCCTGAAGGACACTGCGACCGTCACAAATAGGAGCCGGTCTGAATTTTGATCACGTGACCGCGGGGATGCTGCAACGGACGTAAGTGTGGGAAAAGGGTCATAAGTCCCTTTTTTCAGCGCCTTCGTAACTTCGAACGGTCACTAAATGAACGGTTGAAAGTTGAGGACGCCCCGTATGTCTGCACCCAACTTCACGGGAATGCAGAAGTTTCTGGGTGCAGCTGAACTTTGGGGTTCTCGAGCCCTGCAAGGGGGGGGGACTCACTCCGGCTGGACAGCCAGGGCCGTTTCGGAGTGGAGGTGTAGTGGTAGCCGGCCCGATCCACACACTCGATGGTTTGGTCGCCGTAAATGATCTGGAAAACCTGACAGATCAGCGCGCAGGACTCCTCGGCCATATCCTGCGTGAAGTGAGAGGGAGGGAAAGAGTTACTACCGCGTTGTTTACTTGTCTCCTGCCTTTGTTATTTTTAAAAATAATTAAAAGTGGTCAAACTATCCAACACGATTCCCTCCTCCTATTTTCCTCATAAAACCAACCCTGTGAGGTAGGTGGGGCTGAGAGAATGACTGACCCAAAGTCACCTAGACAGCTTTAATAGCTAAGGTGGGACTAGAACTCACCGTCTCCTGGTGATTGGCCCAAAGTCACCCAATTGGCTTTCATGCCTAAGGCAGGACTAGAACTCACCATCTCCTGGTGATTGGCCCAACGTCACCCAGCCAACTTTCATGCCTAAGGCGGGACTAGAACTCACCGTCTCCTGGTGATTGGCCCAACGTCACCCAATTGGCTTTCATGCCTAAGGCGGGACTAGAACTCACCGTCTCCTGGTGATTGGCCCAAAGTCACCCAGCCGACTTTTGTGCCTAAGGCGGGACTAGAACTCACGTCACCTGGTGATTGGCCCAACGTCACCCAGTCGACTTTTGTGCCTAAAGCGGGACTGGAACTCACCATCTCCTGGTGATGGGCCCAAAGTCACCCAGCCGGCTTTCATGCCTAAGGCGGGACTAGAACTCACCGTGTCCTGGTGATGGGCCCGAAGTCACCCAGCCAGCTTTCATACCTAAGGCGGGACTAGAACTCACCATCTCTTGGTGATTGGCCCAATGTCACCCAGCCGACTTTTGTGCCTAAGGCGGGACTAGAATTCACCGTCTCCTGGTGATTGGCCCAAAGACACGCAGCCAGCTTTTGTTCCTAAGGCAGGATTAGAACTCACAGTCTCCTGCGTTGCTGGCTTGGTAATTCTGAGACTTGAAGTCCACCCATTTTAAAGTTGACGAGGTTGAGAAACACTGTTTGCAGGCAGGGTGTACCCCACCTTTCCAGGAAAGAGGCAAGTGGGAAGAGAGGGGATGGTTTTGTGGGAGGAGTAGGCGCGCACGCACGCCCACCCGTTGCTTGCACGAGTGGGGCTGAGAGCACCCGCGACGCTCGTGGGGGTAAGGCCTGAATGTTTGCGACGCTCGCGTGAGCAGGGCCCTGCACCAACCAGACACTCATGTGGCCCCATTGTGAATAGGCACCTTAGTGGGCTGTGGCCCACAGATTGGGAACCCCTGTGTCAACGCTGCTAACATCAGATGTTCTTGCTTTGACAACATATGGAGATGCATCCATTTTCCTTTACTTTAAGTTTTACTTTTAGAATTAGATGATACTGGGGGGGGGAGGAGGAGGAACGTGCATGGGAGATTAGTTAGACAAAATGATACTGTATAATAAGAGATGATAAGAAATGGCGGGTTGAAGAACTGGGTGGAAAGCCTGCATTTCAAACTAATTGGAGAATGTGATTTATGACTGTTAGCTAGAGCAGGGCTTTTCAACCTTTTCACCCATTGTACCACTTTTAGGATATGGCAGGGGTAGGCAACCTTGGCTCTTTTATGGCTCGTGGACTTCAACTCCCAGAATTCCTGAGCCAGCATGGCTCAGCATGGAACCTTCTCTCTTTCCCCTCAACATGGCTGGCTCAGGAATTCTGGGAGTTGGAGTCCACCAGTCATAAAAGAGCCAAGGTTGCCTACCCCTGGGATATGGCAATATCCGAGTAACACCAGTCGCCTAGCAAGGTGTCAAAAACTTGATGACCCCCCCCAAAAAAGGAAAAAAGTGATGAAGTACAGGTATTCCTCGACTTACAACAGTTCGCTTAGTGACTGTTCGAAGTTACAATGGCACTGAAAAAAAGTGCCCCCCAAGCCATAGCCGAGCAAGACACCTGGCCACGCTCTTCCTCCTGTCCGAGGTTTTCACTGTTGTGAGCATTTCTGCTGAGGATTGGCAGCAGGGAAGGGGTGGGGTGGGGGTTTGGTTTTTATTCCCCCCGGCTGCTGGGTGGTTGCAGCAGGTTTTGGTCACTTCCCATGACCCTGGGACACTGTGACCGTCATAAATATGAATCAGTTGCCAAGCCTCTGAATGTAAATCACAAGACCCTGGAGAGGCTGCAACATTCCAGCTGATCGGTGCTTCTTCTGGGCTCAGCAGAAGTGTCAGGATCAGTGCTGAGCTCCAGCTGGAACCTGGTGCTGATCCTGGCGCTTCTGCTTAGCCCTGACAGCCCTACAGCTCCATCCGTCTCTCGCTCAGGCTTGTGCGGTGCTGCCACCGGTTCAGCTCATTCCCCTCCCCTGCTACCCCTTTTCTAGGATGGCCGCGTCCCACCTGCCAGGTGCCAATGGACCACAGGTGGTACCCGTCTCACTGGTTGAAAAGCCTTGAGTTAGGTGCTTTGATACTATGTGCTGAGGGGAGGGGAAGCCACATTTTGGCTTGGACTATGTACGTGCCAATGTGTTACTACTCAAAGATTCTTTAAGGTAAACAATGCCTCAAAGTTCTTTGAAGAGTTTCATCTGTCGGAACCGTAACACCCTCCTTTATGGTGTCCCCTTGATTTTCAAACCGAAAGCAAACCAACATTTTGGCTCCTGCTAAATGCATGGGGGACCCTCTGTGTGACCTTGTGTGAAAAACCTCTCACTGCAGAGTTGCACTCACCCGGTTGGCCACGGCCAAGATGACCAGGTTGCAATAGGCATCCGGGCAGGGCTCCTTGGGGTCCAGGGGGTTGCCCCCCGTGTGCCGGTGCTCCCAGCTGCCGTAGGTCTTCCCGCGCTCCCAGCTGCCCCCGGCTTGGCTGCCGTGCCGGCGTTCCCAACTGCCACTCTGCGTCTGCCGGTGTTCCCAGCTGCCGAAGGCTCTCCCGGTGCCACTGCTGGTCCGCTGTCTCTTCTCCCAGCTGCCCGTGGCCTGCTTGCGCTCCAGGCTCCCTCCGCCGCTCGGACGTCCCTCGGACCCACCTCGGGACATCTTCCAGTCCAGGCTGCAGATGGTGTGGCGCCGTTCCATGGGACAGCCCAACTGCCGCGCGTCCGGGGCTCTCTTCTCGGTGGTGGCTCCTGCAGGATGTTTCTTGTCCAGTTTTGGGACTCCAGGACAAAGGTCCAGGGTGCCGCCTGCGGGAACCGGATCAACGCCCAGGCCTGGCAGAGGGAGAAAGAGAAGAAAGTCAGACTAAGAGACCAATAATGGCCATGTTACTAGTTTGGGTCATGAAATGTCTGCAAGAAAACCACCAGGCTCAGAGAGCACCAAGACCCCACAGTCCTCCTCCTCCTTCTGCTCCTGCTCCTCCTCTTCCTCCACATATGCCACTCTTTTCTAGCAATGATGATGTTCCCTAGTTGGGTCATGAAATGCCTGCAAGAAAACATCCAAGCTCAGAGAGCACCGAGGACCCACAGTCCTCCTCCTCCTCCTCCCCTCCTCCTCCTCCTCCTCCTCTCTCCTCTCCTCCTCTCCTCCAAATGCCACTCCCTTCTAGCAATGATGATGTTCCCTAGTTGGGTCATGAAATGCCTGCAAGAAAACATCCAAGCTCAGAGAGCACCGAGGACCCACAGTCCTCCTCCTCCTTCCCCTCCTTTTTTCTCTTCCTCTTCCTCCTCCTCCCCCTTCTCTCCTTCTGCTCCTCCTCCTCCTCCCTTCTAGCACTGATGGTGTTCCCTAGTTGGGTCATGAAATGTCTGCAAGAAAACAACCAAGCTCAGAGAGCACCCAGGACCCCACAGTTCTCCTCCTCCTCCTCCTCCTCCTCCTCCTCCTCCTCCTCCTCCTCCTCCTCCTCCTCCCTTCTAGCAATGATGATGTTCCCTAGTTGGGTCATGAAATGTCTACAAGAAAACCACCAAGAGGATACCAAGGGCCCAACAGTTCTCCTCCTCCTCCTCCTCCTCCTCCTCCTCCTCCTCCTCCTCCTCCCTTCTCTTGATGTTATCCAGTTGCTTAATGACCGGAAGATTCATTTCACAGCTGCTGTGATTGCCTAACCATTGTGGCCAAAAGGGTCGTAAAATGAGGCACCACTCACTTCACAACTGCTTTGCTTAGCAGCAGAAATGTGGGGCTGAGCTGTGTTCCTAAACCGAGGACTACCTATTTAAGAAAGGTAAGTGAAGGGGAACTGTAATTTTTTTTCTGTAGGGCAGGGTTCCCCAATCCCCAGGGTGTGACCTATTGAGATCCGGGCCGTGCAAGTTGCGGATGTGTGCATGGGCGCGTAAGAAGCTCCCCTCACATGAACAGACGGCTGCTTGTGTTCACCCCTGCCTGCCACTTGCAGAGAATTATCCCCTCTCTCCCAGCTCCTCCTGGCCCCCAAGCCAGAAATGTCGGGGACGGCTGCTGTAGCGATGGAAACGCATTCTGCTATTCCACTCAGTCTCCCCGCTGACCCTCCCTTCTCGGCCCATCACTGCCCGGTTTAATCCGATCTCGATTGCATGCTCGTACACACAAACACACACATCCAACTTCTTGCCCATTTCATTCTCTCCTGCTTGAATAGGGGGGCTGGTCTAGAACAGGGCTTTTCAACATATGGTACGCGTACCACTTGTGGTACATTAACAAGTGGAAGGTGGTACGCAGCCTTGCCTAGCTAAATGTAGTGGAGGAGAGAAAGAGCCAGCACAGGCAAGGACTTACTGTGAGAGAGTCTTCTGGAGCTGCAGAGTGGCTATAAAACAGTGGTGGCGAACCTGTGGCACGCGTGCCAGCGGTGACACTCAGAGCCCTCTCTGTGGGCACACGCACCATGCCCTGGAGATGGCAACCGTCCCTCTTCAACCAGCTGCCTGCTAACTCACCGAGCTCCCACGTGGCTGAATGCATCCCAGCATGGCTGGTTTCCCTCCACCCCCCATCCCATCCCTCCTGGCCTTGCGTGCTGTCCTTTTCCTAGGCATGACCCACTGCATCGCCTCCTCAGCTGTCGGCTGGCCGTCCAGCTCAGAGGCACCTTCTCTGAACTGCTGGCGGTGGGCTGCAGAGCCCCAGAGTGCACTGGTCGAGGGGCTGGCAGGCTGTGGCTGCTGACGGACACTGTTAGCCCCCATGCACTTGCTGGCTTCTGTGTGTGGGGGCCGATGGTGTCAGGCAACAGCCGTCCCAGCCCATGCCTCGCTTTGCTCTGTGACAATGGCACCCCTGCCTCGCCTTGCCCAGCCTCACCCTACAAAACAAGCCTCTTGCCCACCACCCCATCTGCCAGAGACCCCCTGGATCTCCTCCAACCTTGTCCAGCCCCCACAAGCGTCCCTCCCCATGAGCAACATTGATGTGACCATGCCCACCTTGGCCACACCCACTCAGTCTGCCATGCCCACAGCCATGCCCACCCATTGGGCCATGCCCACCTGGCACCCAGCGATAAATAAGGGGGTTTTGAGTTGCAGTTTGGGCACTCGGGCTCTAAAAGGTTCGCCATCACTGCTATAAAAGGAGGCAGTTTGGGCGGGAGAGGGAGAAAAAAAGCAGCAGCCTTGGGAGGAGGTGGAGTCAGCTCTAGCTGCACCAAAGGGGAAGGAGGAGGAGGAGGGTAGTGGAGGAGAGGAGAGGAGATCAAGCAGGCCGGCCATGAGCTGATCTACAACTGCTGTGGCAGCCACCTGTGCTGGCAGCAACAAACAGGCAAGAAATGCAGCAGGAGAGGGGTTGCCCTCCACAAGGAATGAAGAAAGGCAGCACCAGCTGGAGTTGAGACAAGGCAGGAGATGGAAATGGAGAGTGGAAGGGTTCTTATGTGCTTTTGTGACTTTGAAGTTCTGGGATTTGTGCAATGGGGGCTTTGTGTTCTTAAGGAGTGTTTGGCAATTTCTATTTGGCTGACGTCTCGTGTTAGCTTCTATTGCTCTGCTGTTGTTAGCTATAAGTTTTGCTGCAAGGGATTTGGAAGTATTTTTCTTCTGAATAGATTTTGCCTGTAGCATTCCTTTACTTATGAATGGAGCCATTTGGGGAGGCTGACGTAGCCGCAACCAGTACTTATTTACATTTTTTTTTCTTCCTTAAGTGCCAGCTGCCCTCCTTAACTTTCCTTTCTAGCCAGTAGCTAATTCTTAAAGGGGAATGTGTCCTTTTAAGCTAGTTCACTCAGCAGCTTGTCTTTTCTATCTCTGGAGGCTTTCCCTTGTTTGATGAATATATGGAAGAGAGAAAATATGGGGGGGGGGTTTCAAATTCTTCCTTCAGAAGGAGGTGGGAATGAGAAAAAGGGAGGCAGGAAAGGGAGGGAGGGAAGTCCCGCCTTAGCACTTAGTCACCAGTAGCCCTGCCATTGACTTTGCTTGTCAAAAGGTTGCAGAAGGGGATCACATGATCCTGGGACACTGTGACCATTATAAATATGAATCCGTTGCCAAGCATCCGAATATAAATCACATGACCCTGGGCATGCTGCAATGGTCATAAGTGTGAAAAATGGTCATAAGTCATTTCAGTGCAATTGAAACTTTGAACAGGTATTTTTTTTTTTTTTTGGTCAGCAAGTTTTTGACACCTTGCTAGGTGGTCCTCGAATACTGCCATATCCTAAAAGTGGTACAATCAGTGAAAAGGTTGAAAAGCCCTGGACTAGATGATCTCCAGGGTCCCTTCCGACGCTGTTCTATTCTATTCTTCCGTAAACTTTCAAAAAGCCTCGTCTATGTATTGGCTCCTAGTTTACCTAGCTGTTGTTAGCTTCGAATGTTCTTGCCTTTTATTATTTTTTTTAAAAAAATATTTTGGTCTACTCCTTTTATGATGCTGTAAGCTGCCCAGATTTGCTCAACGGGGAGAACACCGGCCTATAAATTGAACTAACCGAATAAATATATTGCAGAGGGGGACGGGAGGTGGAGCTTAAAAATAAAATATGTGAAAAGTAAAAATAAGAAGAACAGTTGCAGGATTTGGGGTTTGGCCAGTCTAGGGGAAAAGGACTAGGGGGACAGGATAGCAGCATTCCAGTATCTCAGGGGCTGCCCCAAAGAAGAGGGAGTCAAGCTATTCTCCAAAGCACCAGAAGGCAGGACAAGGAGCAACGGATGGAAACTCATCAAGGAGAGAAGCAACCTGGAATTAAGGAGAAACTTCCTGACAGTGGGAACAATTAACCAGTGGAATTACCTGCCTTCAGAAGTGGTGAATGCTCCAACACTGGAAGTCTTTAAGAAGAGACTGGACAGCCATTTGTCCAAAATGGTATAGGGTTTCCTGCCTGAGCAGGGGGTTGGACTAGATGACCTCCAAGGTCTCTTCCAACTTTATTATTATTATTAGTATTATTAGTATTAGAATAGAATTACAGATAGAATAGAATAGAATTACAGAATAGAATAGAAAATATGGAATAGAATAGAATAGAACAGAACAGAACAGAATAGAATAGAATAGAATAGAATAGAATAGAATAGAATAGAATAACACAGTTGGAAGGGACCTTGGAGGTCGTCTAGTCCAACACCCTGCTTAGGCAGGAAACTATTTCAGTCAAATGGCTGTCCAATCTCTTCTTAAAAACTTCCAGTGTTGGAGCATTCACCGCTTCTGGAGACAGGTTGTTCCACTGGTTAATTGTTCCAACTGTCAGGAAGTTTCTCCTTATATTCTAGGTTGCTTCTCTCTTTGATGAGTTTCCATCCGTTGCTTCTTGTCCTGCCCTCTGGTGCTTTTGAGAAGAAGTTGACCCCCTCCTCGTGTCAGCCCCTGAAATACTGCCAGTCTGGAGAAAAGAAGGACTAGGTGGATTATGATAGCAGTATTCCAATATCTCAAGGGCTGCCCCAAAGAAGAGGGAGTCAAGCTATTCTCCAAAGCGCCAGAAGGCAGGACAAGAAGCAACGGACGGAAACTCATCAAGGAGAGAAGCAACCTAGCACTAAGAGAGGGAGGACAATTAATCAGTGGAACAGCTTGCCACCAGAAGTTGTCGGTGCTCTATCACTGGAAGTTTTGAAGAAGAGACTAGGGTCTCCTGCTTGAGCAGGGGGCTGGACTAGATGACCTCCAAGGACCCTTCCAACTCAATTCTGATTCTTTGTGCTTCCGATGGCGTCTGGGCACCAGAGGGCAGCCTTGGCCCACACGCCGCAGCCAGGGTGCCCTGCAAGGGGTCAGGAAGCAGCCCTACTATTGGGGATAAGAGGCAGCGATGTGATGCCTGCAGGGGTTCAGCTGGACCCCGCCTTCCAAACTAGCTGGGCTCTGGCACCAGGACCCTCCAGTGGGCGCTCCCAGCCTCCCTGTCTGGGCTGAATCCTGTTCCAGCCATGGCACCAGCTGTGCCCTGTTTCCCTCTTTCTGCTCTCTCGCCTTTGAGCGGTTGCAGTGCGCCCCACCAGCAGGATGGATTTTGGGTTTGTGATTTTTAATGCCAGCGTCTCTTTCACACACACACACACACACACACACACACACATACACACACACACACACATTTTCCTTGGCGTTCAGACGGGAATCTCCAGAGGCTCCTCACCGACTTATGAAGGAATCGGCCAAAGCTGGAAGGGAAAAGGACGTTTGCCATAAAAACGGTGGAGCCGGAAGCCTTGGAAGCCGGAACTGCAGGCGAGGAAGCCATGGGACATGGACCCGACCCAGATGCTGTTCTTCATGATGATGATGAGGGGGAGGATGAAGATGAGGGGGAGGATGATCTGACTTAGACCTGGACCTGCTCCTGATGTTGGACTGGCCCCTAAATCTGGATCAGGACCTGGACCTGGATCCGGATCTGGACCTGCATCTAGATCTGGACCCCAGATTTGGGTTTAGATAATGCATCAGGACCTGGATCCAGATCTGAGTCCGGACCTGGTCCTCATTCTACACCTGGACCTGGAACAGGATCTAGATCTTTGGTTGGATCTAGACCTGGAACCGTATTTAGACCTGGACCTAAGCCTCGGCTTGGATCTGTGACCTACACCAGGACCTGGATCCAGATCTGGCTCAGGGTCTAAATCAGGGCCTGGACTTGGATCCAGATCTGAATCCAGACCTGGTCCTCATTCTAGAGCTAGACCTGGACTGGGATCTAGACCTTTGGCTCAATCTAGACCTGGAACTGGATCGAGACCTGAACCTAGGCCAGAGGTGGGGAACCTTGCTCTTTTATGACTTGTGGACTTCAACTACCAGAATTCCCAGCGTGGCTGGCTCAGGAATTCTGGGAGTTGAAGTCCACAAGTCGTAAAAAAGCCAAGGTTCCCCACCACTGGCCTAGGCCTTGACTTGGATCTCTATCTTGACCTGGACCAGGACCTGGATCCAGATCTGGTTCCGGATCTAGATCAGGACCTGGACCTGGATCCAGACTTGGATCTGGAGCTTGTCCTGATTTGAGACCTGAGCAGGACCGGGACCTGATCCAGATCCTGGCCTAAGGCCTGCAAATTGGGGGCGGGAAGTGTTGGGGCAGGCAAGAGACGCAGCCAATCAAAAGGAGCCTCTCCCTTGTAACGGTCAACCTAAGCGAGGAGAGGCATAATATCAAGTTAATGATTTAGAAGCTAACCAGCTGATGTAATGTAAGATGGATGACATAATGTTGAGAATGACTCAGCAGGGTTTATGTCCCTTTAAGAGCCAGCAGGGTCTGTATCTCTTTAAGAGCTCTGTATAAAAGGGAAGGCTTTGCTGATGTGTTCTCTGTTTCCTGCTGTAACCGCTGTATGTTGGAGACTGCTGTATTAACACATACATGTATATTGTTCCCGGTGTATGATATTTTAAATAGTATAAAATAAACCACCATTTAATATAGACCACTCTTTACTGTGTTCACTCCTGGTGTCAACGCTGCTAATATTGAATATTCTTGTTTTGACAATATATGCAGAACTGTCTGGTATTTTTAGAGTTAATTCAGGTGACAGTGAAAGGGGAGGAGAATATAAGGAAAGCCCGGGGGAAAAAGAAACGGAAGTAAATCTTTGCCCTCCAAGTTAATTGGAAGATGTGAATCATGACCCCAAAATAGGGGACGGGGAATGCCTGGGATGTTACGTGCAAAGGAAGGGAAATTCAGAGCTTAGCATTTCCACCATGCCGTGCTAACATCTCTGTGACACTAATAAAGGCTCTTTAGGTTAAAAAAATGCCTGAAGGTTCTTTGACGTGTTTCGTTAATCAGACACATGACACTTGGGTTATCTCAGCACAATAAGACTGTGCACGCTCTGACACGTAAGGAGTTCCTCCTTCCCGCCCAGCTTTCCCCATAATCTCCCATCCTCCACAGCGCACCTGTCTTCAGCACCAGCAGGTGCAGCGCATCGTCCCTCAGGTCGGAAGCCGCAGCAATGTCATGGGTGGGGATCCTAAGGATAGCCTCCTCATTGTCCCGCCATGTGAGCAGGGCAGGCAGCGGGCAGAGAGACTCAAGGTGCTGTCCCTGCCTCAGGTTGTGGTCGTCAGCGGCAGCTCCTTCAGTTTGCGCAGGAGGGGGAGCAAAGCACAGCAAAGTTAGGGAAAACTCGGGTACCTAGCTCCCTCCCGGCATCCAGCGCAGACCCGCCTTTTCCGGCGTGAGATTCTCCCGCCCCCATACGGAGCTGCATCAGAGCATGCCTCCTCAGCTCTTCCAATTTCTTGGACAACCACTGGATCCCAAGGCAAAAAAAGTAGGGATTTTTTTTTTTTTTTGCAGAAAGACGCAGGCGTACCAAGAGTCCAGAGGATCAAGAATTTCGCCTTGGACGGCTGCAATTATATAATAGTAAAGTTGGAAGGGACCGTGGAGGTTGTCTAGTCCAACCCCCTGCTCAGGCAGGAAACCTACACCATTTTGGACAAATGGCTGTCCAGTCTCTTCTTAAAAACTTCCAGTGTTGGAGCATTTACTGCTTCTGGAGGTAGGCTGTTCCACTGATTAATTGTTCTCACTGTCAGGAAGTTTCTCCTTAGTTCTAGGTTGCTTCTCTCCTTGATGAGTTTCCACCCGTTGCTTCTTGTCTTGCCTTCAGGTGCTTTGGAGAATAGCTTGACTCCCTCTTCTTTATGGCAGCCCCTGAGATATTGGAATACTGCTATCATGTCCCCCCCCCCCCGGTCCTTCTCTTCATTAAATTAGACATACCCAATTCTAGCAACTGTTCCTTATATGTTTTAGCCTCCAGTCCCCTGGTCATCTCTGTTGCTCTTCTCTGTACTCTTTCTAGAGTCTCAACATCTTTTTTACATCGTGGTGACCAAAACTGGATGCAGTATTCCAATTTCCAAGAAAGAACAAAAAGAAATAGAAGAAGTTTCCAATTTCCTTTGCAGCAGATAAATGTAAGATTACAAAATTTATCTCTCACTGCAGAGCAGGGGGGTTCTCCACAATTGGCAACTTTAACATGTTGTGGACTTCAGCTCCCAGAATTCCCCAGCCAGCTATGCTTGAAGTCCACAAGTATGAAAGTTGCCAACTTTGGAAGACCCCTGCCTTAGGGAAGACCGGGGCATTTTATGACCCACCCCCCAGGCTACATCCGGCCCTTTGGCTATCCCTCTTTGGCCAGGTGAGGTCAATCAGAAATTAGAAACCAGATATAAAAAAGGGAATTTTTTTTATTTTGAAAGCCACTCTTTTTTTTTCCAATTTACACATGTGTGTGCATGCCTACGCACCTTCACAACTCTCTTGTTTCACACACACACACACACACCCCGCCACAAATCTCCCAGAGTCTCATATGTCCCTTTGGCAAAATTAATTCCCCATTCAAAAAAACAGCAACCCAATCCTCCCTTTTTTCCTGTTATCCAGCTATTTTTTTTAACGACCACACTCACAAAGGTCTGGAGCAGCGGTTCTCAACGTTTGTGTGACGGCGACCCCCGTCACACAAACGTTATGCGCATGCGGGGGGCGGCCCCATGCACGGTGCGCATGCGCGGCACCGCCCCCCGGAGGCACGGTGCTGCCCCCATGCGCGGCGCGCATGCGCGGCGCCGCCCCCAGAGGGAAAATGGCAGATCGCCGCCTTTGGCGACCCCCAAAAAATGGTCGATCGACCCCAAATGGGGTCGCGATCCATAGGTTGAGAACCGCTGGTCTGGAGGAATATCCTGGCTGGGCAGGTGAAGTTTTGTGTACTTTTTGTGTGCAAATGACGCAATCTCGTTAGTGGAGACGGCAAATGTTCTCCTGCTCAGCCAATCGCATTGTACACATGTTGTACTTTGACAATAAAAGTTGATTGGATTGGATTTGCAAACGTTATTCAGAATTAGACGCCATCTCCCTGCTCCATTCGTCCTTTCTGCTAATACAGAGGGTCCTCGATTTACAATCATTCGTTTAGCGACCGTTTGAAGTTGCAGAAACACTGAAGAAAGCAACTTACAACTGGTCCTCACAGTTACGACCGGCACAGCAGCCCGACAGTCACGTGATCAAAAGTCAAGGATTAAATGTAGAGTGTTTCTCAACTGAACAATGTTAAGATGGGTGGACTTCAGCTCGCCTTGCTGGCTGAGGAGTTCTGGGAGTTGAAGTCCACTCCCTTCAAGTTGCTGAGATAGAGACACATGGATGTGGCTGGGGGATTCTGGGAGTTGAAGTCCACCCAGCTCCCAGTGGTCGAGGTTGAGATACATGGATGTGGCTGGGGGATTCTGGGAGTTGAAGTCCACCCATCTTCAAGTGGCGAGGTTGAGAAACACTGATCTAAAACTCTATTTTGTAGGGTTTCCTGCTTGAATAGCGGGGGTTGGACTAGATGACCTCCAAGGCCCCTTCCAATTCTGTTATTTAGTGGAATGGCTTCCCTTCAGAAGTTGTGGAGGCTCCAATACTGGAAGTCTTTAAGAAGAGACTGGACAGCCTTTTGTCTGAAATGTTTTAGGGTTTCCTGCCTGAGCGGGGGTTGGACTAGATGACCTCCAAGGCCCCTTCCAACTCTATTGTTGTTGTTGTTGTTGTTGTTTTGTTGTTGTTGTTATTAACTAGCTTTCAAGAAGAGACTGGACTGCCCTCTGTCAGAAATGATGTAGGATCTCCTGCTTGGCTGGGGGGTTGGATTAGATGACCTCCAAGGTCCCTTCCAACATCATCATCATTATTATTATTATCTAGCTTTCAAGAAGAGACTGGACTGCCAACTGTCAGAAACCGTGTAGGGTCTTCTGCTTGGACTAGATGACCTCCAAGGTCCCTTCCAACTCTATTATTATTATTATTATTATTATTATTATTATTATTATTACTAAACAACTAGCTTTCAAGAAGAGACTGGACTGCCAACTGTTGGAAACCATGTAGGGTCTCCTGCTTGGGCAGGGGGTTGGACTAGATGACCTCCAAGGTCCCTTCCAAACTCTGTTATTCTAATTCTAATTCTAAGCTCATTGAAGCACATCATAGGGTTACCCTTGCGGTATCCAAAAGCTGCAACAATTCGTCCCGGCTGGAGGGGTTCAAGGAGCTGTTCACCCAGGTCAAGTGGCCTAAAAACTGTGGGGGGAAAAAGAGAGAGAGAGAGAGAGAGAGAGAGAGAGGAATGAGAAAAAATCAAAACGAAAGAGCAGTAAATATTAGTTATTTTTTTTAAAAGGAGAATTTAGGGTTAGCACAGCTTGGGCGAATCAGGAATACATCTCCCGCTTTCTTTTGTTCCGGGCTGCTTTTATCGTTCAGGCTGTTCATAAATTAGGGATTTGGGCAGAGATTCAGGCTTGGGGGCCGAGTGGGAAAAATGGTTTTTCTGACCTCACTGTTTTTGCACTGAGTCTTTCCAAAATGAGATTTATTTCCTCTTTATTCGGTTCAGCCTCCCTAAGGTTTCTTTCAGGTTTGGTCCCCTCCCCAAAGCTGCTCATAAAATTTGTCCTGTGGAAACAGCCCCCCCCTCGAATTCCCCTCTGAGTTGCCCAAGACCTCAAAGCAAGGGTCTTCAAACTTGGCCCTTTGATGACAAGTGGACTTCAACTCCCAGAATTCCTCAGCCAGGCTCCATTTTGTTTGTTAGATTTAAGACAGGGGTCTTCCAACTTGGCCTTTTGATGACTGGTGGACTTCAACTCCCAGAATTCCTCAGCCAGGCTCCATTTTGTTTGTTAGATTTAAGACAGGGGTCTTCAAACCTGGCCCTTTGATGACAAGTGGACTTCGACTCCCAGAATTCCTCAGCCAGGCTCCATTTTGTTTGTTAGATTTAAAACAGGGGTCTTCAAACTTGGCCCTTTGATGACTGGTGGACTTCAACTCCCAGAATTCCTCAGCCAGTGTGCCTGTCTGAGGAATTCTGGGAGTTGAAGTCCACCAGTCATCAAAGGGTCCAGTTGGAAGACCCCCAGTCCAAGGTTTACAGCAGGCCTTGCCAGTACAATTAGTCCTCGACTTACAGTCATTTTCATTTACTGACTGTTCACAGTTAACAACGGCACTGAAAAAAGTGACTCGTGATTGATTATCCCGTGACAGATGCAGCATCCCCCATGTGATCAGAATTCAGACGCTTGGCACCTGACTCCTATTTATGACGGTCCCAAGCGTTTCTGCTTTTTTTCCCCCCTCATAA